TTGAGGGAGTACTTGAGTGGAGGCCCAATGTCCTTCGTCGCAGAACCTTTGTATTTGTTAGTTGCTTGCACTGGATCAACTTTCCCTAGCTCTCCAAAGACTGATTAATAAACTAAAATAAAGCACTTGTTGCTACCATAGCATCAATTCCAACTCATAGTGACTCTTTAGGGCAGAGTAGAACTTCATCTTTGGGTTACTGGGGCTATAAATTTTTATAAAATGTATAAAAAATTATAAATTTTTACCAGATAAGACAAGTTTATGTTTCTCCTGAGGAACAGCTGGTGGGTTCTTACTGATGACCTTGAAGTTAGCAGTTCAATGAGTAACCAACTACACTACCAGGGCTCTTAGACTGATTATTATTCACTCTTAAGTCTCAGGTATCCTGACCTGAAAAAAATCTTCTCTCTCTCTCTAAAATTATCCACCTAACGTCTGTCACTGCCTAAGTTAAATTTTATCACATCTTCTTGTCCTGGAAGCCCCATGAAAGTAAAAAATCAATTGGAAAATCCAGAATAGATATATTTGATGCTAGAAATAAGCATTGCTAGACCCCATGCAGTCAAACAATATTTTAATGTTTTTTAATAACAACATATTGCCCAACCTGTAATTGAAAATACAAAAGGTAATATTCACAAAACCAAACAGCCTCTGGGAACCATAGCAGCTTGAGATTATGTTTTCAGAACAGCTAAGAACAATTTACATTATCTGATTCTATCGAGAAAAGTGAAAGTTTTGGATTTGTCTGGATATTACTTCCTAGAAGGTAGAAGCCAACATTTTTTCAGTCATTTTATTGGAGGCTCTTACAGCTCTTATAGCATTCTATACATTAATTGTATTAAATATATTTCTACATATGTTGCCATCATCATTTCAAAAACATTTTCTTTCTATTTGAACCCTTGGTATAAGCTCCTCTTTTATCTCCCTCCTTCCCCAACCCTCCCACCCTCATGAATCCTTGAACAATTACATATTGTTATTATTATTTCGTATCTTACACTGCCCACTGTCTCCTTTCACATTATGTTGTTTGCCCTTTTGGGGGGCGCGCTATAGATCCAACCTTGTGATAAGGTTCCCCCTTTATCCCCCTTCCCCCTCCCCAACCATCCTGCTTCCCTCATAATATCATTTCTCCCACTACTGTTCCTGAGGGGTCGGTCCTGAATTCCACGTGTTGAGAGCGCTTATCTGTGTTCTCCGGTCTAGCCAGATTTGTAAGGTAGAACTGGGTCATAGTAGTAGTGGGGATGAAGCAGTCATGAACTAGAGGGAAAATGTGTGTTTTGTTGGTGCTATACTGCACCTTGGTTGAATTGTCCCTTCCTTATAACCCTTCTGTGGGGGCATATCCAATTGTCTACAGATGGACTTTGGGTCTCCACTCCAACCCCCTTCATTCACATTGACATAATTGTTTGTTCTGGATCTTTTGATACCTGATGCCTTATCTCATGGACACTTCATGATCACACATGCTGGTGTGCTTCTTCCATGTGGGCTTATTTGAGAAGCCAAGCATTTTGTATAGAAGGTAAATAAATTGCCAAAATCAGTTTTTCAGATTATTCTACTAAAATGCTGTGCTATATATTTGTTTTTTTAATCATTTTTTTGGAGGTTGGTAAAACTTATATCACAATCCATACATACATCCATTGTGTCAAGCACATTTGTACATCTGTCGCTATCATCATTCTCAAAATTTTCTTTCTACTTGAGTCCTTTCTACATTTTCCTTCTACTTGAGCCCTTGGTATCAGCTCCTCATTTTTCCCCTCCCTCCCCTACCCTCCC